GCTGCTCATATGGGAAAGAATCATAAAAAACAGCTTCACTCAGGGACGGTAGTATACCTGAAACTCGCAATCAAATGTAGTGAGCTGATCGCAATTATGGAGGACAGCGAACGACGTGTGCGAGGCAACCACACTGGAAACTATGAACCTCGTCAGGCTAAGTGCAAAACTTCGCGGGAGGACGGTATCGATCTCGCCACCATGCAACTGGCAGCATGCATCCCTTGTTGCTACGCGATCGCTACAAACTACAACAAAGGCCGCTCTCGTCCACTCAGAACGATGCGAAGGAACTTTCACGTCATGAATGAAGATCATGGGACGGAGCGAAGAACTATTGTTGAACAACATCTAATAACATGGGCGTTGTTCGACAGCGATTAAACACTTCTATGATCATCAAGCATGGACTGAAAGTTCGCAAAAGTCATCAGTGGTTTATATGCTTAGGACGTCATTCCGGGAAGGTGGCCGCACAGAACCTCGCCGAGTTTCTGTGGTCAGTATTGCGAGGGCTACGAGATTGGTGGAACGACCTTCGTCAAAGAAAAGCTGGTCGAATAGGGGCCCTGAACGTGGGGTCGTCTATACGGGAGTCTCGCGATTGTTGCCGACCTTCATTGAGGCGCAGGAATACATCCAAGTCCTATGCCTTCAGGGAAACGCGATGGAAAGGTGCAAAGGCCCGCGAGATTGGAGAAGGTGTCAAACTCTTCTACAATGGAGCAGACACCAAACGGAATGGCGTGGCCATAGCGGTAGCGGAATCCCTGAAGGACTGCGTCTCTTCCGTGAACAGAATCAGTGACCGGATCATGGGAGTGAGAATGGACACGATGGATGGGTACTGGACAGTACTGACCGTGTACGCACCACAATCCGGCTGCTCCGAGGCGGAAAAGGATGAGTTCTACCTTATCCTGGACGACGCCATAAGATCGGTTTCCAGAAGACGATTACCTCACCATAGCTGGGGATCTGAATGGCCACGTGGGAAATGACAGAAGAGGCCTAGAAAGGGTGCACGGAGGTCAAGGAATAGGAGCGAGAAATGCTGAAGGAGAACGGATCCTTGACCTAGCCACAGCGGCCACGACTTTAGCAATCTGTAGCACCTTCGCGAAAAGGAGGACTCAGAAGGTAACCTACAGCAGTGGAGGGAGACAAACGGAAATCGACCACGTCCTGGTGAGAAGGTCGTCTCTCAAAACCATCAAGGATATCAAGGTACTGCCGTGGGGAAGGACCTGGGCCCTCTCCCCACAGACCTCTCCTGGTCAGATATCGCTCGATTTAGACCTCCCAAGAGAGATCAAGTGTGGTGGTGAAAACAGAGCTAAGATTCGCTGGTGGAAAAAATGCGCTAACGCAGAAACGTATAAAACCTCTTTCGGCCGAAGAATACTGGAGGCTGGGCTCCCGGACCCACATGGGCCAGTCCAGGACACCTGGAGCCACGCAGCAGAGGTCATCCTACAGTGCGCAAAAGAAGTCCTGGGAGAGACGCGAGGCGGTATCAGAGGAGACAAGGCAGCCTGGTTCTGGAACGAGGAAGTCCAGAGGATCGTCAAGCAGAAGAAGGAAGCATACAAATGCTGGCAAAAGACACGGAGCCCAGAAGACTACGCTGCCTACAAGAGCTGCAAGCGACTCGCTAAGGCGACCGTTACTAAGGCCAAGAATACGGAAATGGACGCCCTGTACGAGAAGCTGGAGGGCCGAGAGGGGGACAAGTTCGTCTTCTTCTGGCTAAAGCTCGACATCGCGCGGCTCAGGACATCAGAGTCGTAAGCACTGTGAAGAGCATCACAGAGCCATTCTCAGGAAACCAGCCGAAGTCAAGGAAGAGGTGGGAAGAATACTTCGAGGGACTCCTGAACGAAGAATTCCCCCGCAAGGACAGCCCACAGATAGAGGCGACGGCAGGTCCCATCACGCCCTGGACACAGGATGAAGTCCGCAGGGAGCTAGGGAGAATGAAAGTTGGGAAAGCAGTGGGTCCAGACGGAGTACCGATAGAGGCATGGAAGGCTCTGGGAGAGCTTGGAGTGAGTTGGCTAACAGACTTCCTAAACAATGTTACGGCTGAAGGAAGGATGCCAGACGCGTGGAGGAGCAGCACAATCGTCCCCATCTTCAAACAGAAAGGGACGCGACGGAGTGCTCCAACTACCGCGGCATCAAGTTGACTCCCCATACCATGAAGCTGTACGAGCGCCTGGTCAACACTAGGCTGAGGGAACTTGTCCCTATCTCGCAGGAACAGTTCGGCTTCATGCCCGAAAGGTCACCACTGACGCCATCTTCATCGCCAGACAGCTGATGGAGAAGTACCGAGAGAAGCGGCGACCCTGCTACCTAGCCTTCCTGGACCTTGAGAAGGCATTCGACCGCCTGCCTCGCCTGCCTCCGTTTACCATGTGATGAACCAGGTTTTTGCTCCTTGAAACGTTACGTTACTCTGGAGAGCGCTCAGAGAACGTAACGTTCCGGAGCACCTGGTCTCCATAGTAAAGGATATGTACGATGGGGCTAAAGCAGCTGTACGCACCCCGCACGGCTTGACGAAGGAGGTAAACATCACGGTTGGGGTACACCAAGGATCAGCCCTCAGCCCGTTCCTCTTCCTCCTGACTCTAGATGTCATGGCAAAAGAACTCATGGAGGGACCACTGAAAACCATCCTCTACGCTGACGACATCGCCCTGATAGCGGACAGCAGGAAAGAACTCCAGGACAAGGTGCAGCGGTGGCAAGATGTGCTCGCTGAGAATGGGCTCCGGTTGAACGTGAAGAAAACCAAGTTCCTGAGCTCTGAAGAGTGTAGCGAACCCATCGTAGACCGTCACGGCGAGAACATCGAAAGGGTCGAGGACTTCCAGTACCTGGGGAGCCACCTATCAGCTGATGGCAGCGTGGATCAGGCGGTGAAAGCCCGAATCAACGCAGCCTGGATGAAATGGAGGGAGTCCACTGGCATCCTGTGCGACCGGCGGTGCTCGAGAACGCTCAAGGGCAAGGTGTACCGGGCGGTGGTAAGGCCTACAATGCTCTACGGCAGTGAGTGCTGGCCCATCTGCAAGAACCATGAAAGGCAGCTCCACTCAGCTGAAATGAGGATGCTGAGATGGGCCTGCGGTTGGACACGACTCGACAGAGTCAGAAACGAGGATGTCAGGGCGGTCACACAGACGGCCCCGATCCAGCTGAAAGCACGAGAGCAGCGACTGCGATGGTATGGGCACGTACTGAGGAGGCCTGAAGACCACCCAATAAGGAAGGCATTGGAATTCGAAGAGGGCAAGCGACCACGAGGAGCCCCAAAGAAAAGATGGAGGGACGTCATCAAGAAGGACCTCACTGAAGTGAAAGCCACGCAGAAGATGCAGTGGATCGGAACAAGTGGCGACGTCTAACAAGAACAGCGGACCCTGCGACGGCGCGGGACTAACGCTAGGGAGAAGAAGAAGAAGAACATCAAGCATGGACTGTTGCCACGTGAGTATTAGTACGGTTCTTTCCCGCTTCAGTCTCCTTCTTACCATGATTTTCCTGCGAATAGGGTACGTTTTGGTCAACTTCGGTCTACAAAATAAAGGATCAAAAAGAGCAATCATTTAGAGGGAATCGTTGACCTAAATGAATGCGACCACAATTCTTTCCCTGTCTCTACTTCTCCATCCAAACACTCTCCACATACTTTTATCGCTCTGCCGCGCTCCTTCTCTATTGTATCTTCGCTACGATCCCGACTTACTCTGTAACTTTCCGACAACGGCTGCGTAAAACCCCCTAACTCGCACTACAGAGATGGCCACCTTCGCTAAAAAGTCCTCTGGAGGACTTTTCACCGCGTATAACGGCGACTGCTTGCGTCTTTCCGTTATCTCTCCCTGCCTTTCCATCCTCGTGATGGGAGTTCAACTGCGACGTGGCTGCGTCGCACTTCAACGCATGAAAACTATACTGACCTGAGGTCGTGGTAACGACGACATGAACCCCGACCATTTCCACTCACATCCTTGCAAGTAGGCGTTTTAGGGTAGCAGAAAGCATCCAAAAACGTGTTGGGGGAAAGATATACCTCAGCTTTATTGCGACCTGATAGTTTAACTCGACCTGATAGTTTAACTCCCTCTTCGAGCCACATTACTACCGTCCCAGGTGAAATGAGGATGCTGATATGATGGGCCTTCGGCTAGTGGATATTGAGATCGGAAGACGTCAGATGGGTCCCACAGACAGCTCCAATCCAGCAAAGGCACGACATCAGCGACTGATGTTGAACGGACAGTGCTGAGAAGGCTCGAGGAACATCCGATAAGGAACGCTCTGGACTTCGAAGCACAAGGCAAGCAACCACGTGGAGCCCCGAAGAAACGGTGGAGGCACATGATCGAGAAAGACCTCAGAGTGAAGGCGGCAGAAAACGCCCTGGATAGGAGAAGATGGCGGCTGTTAACAAGAACAGCGGACCCCGCAACGGAGCGGGTTGAACGCTAGGGAGAAGAAGAAGAAGAGTTCGACGGAGAGAGCTGGTGACAACTTCCTACGTCTTCCAGCGAAAAGGGAAACATCGCGTGGCAACTAGGAACTGAACCTACAGTTGATATCACTGCAATCAGTCGGGGCGCAATCAACAGTCCCCACGTGCGGCGTTTCCATCACTGGTTGTTTTCTTCCTGGATCGATCCCTACAATCACCACTGGTAGAGTAAGACTGTCGGAAGCTGGGTCATCCCGCTCCCCTCCCCACCCCGGGCAACCCCAACTGATTGCAATGTTACAGCTATACTCAGCCGGTGACGCGCACCGGCGGCATCCAGCGTTCAGGTATGCCTCCAAAACAGTATTTGTACAAGTTCGTCACTAATCAGTGATCTGCCAATAGTGTTGCCAAATTTGTCTAGTTGGTTTGGTATGCTGCTGACGTGTAAATATGCAATGAGAAGACAAGAATTCATTTATAGCAACTACGAATGCACTACGTTTTGCGTCTGTTACGCACATACAAACTGTTTGTTCACGATCTTCTTCACGTACGGAGCACAGCAAGTCGCCCTAGGGTATGTGCAGACAGGAGGTGCACATGCTTGATTTGCTTTGAATGGTCCACTGAAATGAAGTGATTAAAGGATATATTAAAGAAGTTATTAAGCAATATTTGACAGCTAGACTAAGTAACGAGCTAGGCAACTAAAAGTGGAGTAAGGAGAAACTGTGCTCAGTTGAAGCTTTCGTCACCCAACTAAGGTCAAAAGGTAAGGAATACGACACTTAGAAGTTAGCGAGCTTCTAATTTTAGTACCACACCTTACTGAAGTTTTGAAGTTGAAAATCTCCAGAGAACTCACGTGCACTGGCATCCTGAAGGCCAGCAGTAACGGTAGGAAGGTATGACACCGCACATTCCACAAGTATCGTTACATGTAGCGCTCGCCTCCTGCATCCAGCTTGTCCATGTACCAGGACATTGCACAGGCTATATAAAGTCTTGTTACCAAAGGCAAGGCAAGCGTGGGAATCTAAGTGCATACCGGTTCGGGTTGACAGAATTGAGCCCCGTCGTAGCCTACCGCCGGGTAACCCTTACAACATGCAGGAGCAGTTGTGCAGGCTGCTTGACCGCAGTCTCGTGACTCCGTAGTACTTCCCCTTAAGCAATTCATTAAGTGGTAATGTTCGAACCGCGAAGTTCGCGATGACCCACGTGCACGGACAACCATATGGAGCTGAAGCGCAGGTGCGATTACGCGATTGAGTACCACAGAGGCCGCAATTTGCAGAACACGTAGTCCATACCGTCCATTCATTCCAGAGCCCCTTCTTCTCTGAAATCAATGTTATTTTCAAGACAAGTGCAGTAAAGCAGAATGAATCGCTTACCCGGATCACAGCACGTGGTCTGTTCAGGACTGAATGGTTGCACCACTGGAAGCGGTCCACAGTAGAACTGCTTTGTGACAGTGTCCGCTTTCTTTGTAAAGCCGGGACAACATGAGGGTCTTGGATATAGACACACTGATGTTCCGCATACTTGGTTCTCAACAGCATCTCCTCTAAAACAACAAAGACACTTCGCTTTCAACAGGATCCTATTGAAATTGCAACTCACGCGCAGGCGCAACCGTACTGCAGAGATAAACATTTTCTAGATCGGACTTGTGTTCCACATGAGCCGCATGTGTCGTTACAAGGTACTGTAACACTCCATTCACCCCATATTCCTGAAAAATACTGCTTTGGAACTAGTTTACACAAAGTGTATCTCAACTGCAAAGATATTCTGTTAATATTGTGGGTTCTCTACGTGAAGAAGGCCAAGGTTGAAGCAGATTCCTGCTTGGGTTTAAGTAGTAGCGCCTTATGCCTACTACGCATAATTTTCTTGAAATTATTTCTTCAGGGGTGTCAATTATTGTTATGAGAATCAGTCAAACCGCAACACTTATTACATTTTACTAAAAATCCGGAGTGTTCTCCTTCATAATACCGCACCTACCGTCAACAATAGGAAGCTCGCACTCCACGTCATGGATGGTGCTTGAATCGAAGTTCTGAGAAGAAAAACAGAATGGTGAGGGGAAAAGCCTGATAGGGAGGATTTTCTTACTCGGCTTGGTGCGAGCAGCGCAACTCAGGACTCCACTCATCCAGAGAATCGTTTGCCATAATCGAGGCTTCAAGCAGGAGGCCAAAGTCGTGAGCGCGACGTGGGTTCTAGTCGTGGCTGAACATAACTTGATGGAGCTTTGGCTTGGGGCGTGATTAGATTATTTCCAATATAGCGGAATATGATAAGCCGCTTCGATGAAATCTATCCCAGAAACTGTAAAGGATGAAGAAGTCGCCCCTTATGTCCCTCAGCGGAGCGAGCATGGCTACGCTAATCATTGTATCGGCGCCTGCTCGACGCTGCTCACTGGCGGCTACAAATGGTTGGACGATTGCCTACCAGAGGGATGGCCAATTCTCAAATGTCTGTAAAAATTTTCAGGCGATCCTAAAAGATCGGTCGGCCTGGGATTAGGATTTTACCTTTTGTCGGGCAGCAATCTACTCCGCAGGTGTTGATGTAAGGCGTCTCCTCGAGTACGGGCTGAAATTTGCAAATATTGTTGAATTTGTAAGAGTGAAAAATGAAAATATGAATGATTTGTCACATCTGCCAAGAAGTGTATAAACCTGAACACCCTCTGCTGCCGACAGCGCTTGATGAGAGCACAAATGATTGCGGAAAAGCGTATCAAAAATGGTTGTTTTCCAGATATGACATTTGGAAGGAAGAGCACACTGCACCACAGCTTTGTAGAAAGGATGAGATTCCAAAAAGGGAGGTAAGGAAATTACCAAAGGTCCGCAAGTATGTCGTCCGTTGATGAGTGTCGATTCATAACCAGGGCAGCACGACAAGCGAGGATAGTAGCACACATCGGTATTACAAGGCGTTGAAAAGGTGGAAGGTCCACTAAAAACACGACATATGTGTCCTTGCCTGCCGCCAAAAATCGAATATCTATTTTTCCAGGTACTTTTCTAAAGTAACGCTTAGTTTTGACGCTTACTTGCAGGGACAGCCATCAGCTTCAGACAAGCAGGTTCTCGTTTTCGTAATATTTCCGCATGATCCACAGTAGTCCGTGCATTGTGAAGGTGATTGTGTCCATTCCGACCATAGTCCGTTATCAGGACAACAAGTGCCATTACAGTATGGATCAATCGGAGCGAGAGGGGTTGTGTAGTTTGGCTGCAAGTAGCTAACCACTAGATAGCACGGTATTCAATAAGAAACGGATAGGAAGTACCTGAGGTCCACATGAGTGTTTTCCGTCTATAACCGTTGATGAGTACGGCGAACAGCAAGAATCTCTCGGGAAGTAGCACACTCCAATGTTGCAGTTTTTCTGTCTCGTTGCAGGACCCCTGAAATAATTGTGACATTAGCGCGGACGTCTGTACTGTTTCCAAGTGTACCCACACAAGGTGGTCCGAATACTCAGAAACCCTGAAATGACGGAAGAAAAAGAAGAACTGTTCAAAATCTATGAAAAAGAAGAACTGTTCAAAATCTATCTCTCGGCATAGTTACATTTCAGTTGGTTGCGAATGCTGCAGCATGTCAGGGGGCTGGGCTCGGCGCTGCGATTGTTGTGGCTTATCCTCTTCAACAGTTGCCGGAAAACACGTTGCAGCCTTGTCCAGCGGGCCAAATTCAGCCCCTCTGACACGCCCCAGCATCCACAGCGAAACATGACCGTATAATATGATGCAATTCCCCGCTCGAGAACAAACTTGGAAGTCACCCTTTAATAGGCGCCTACAAAACACCTTCAGTACTCTTTGTATTACCTGCACGTGCAGTTATGTTGCTCCGTGAGACAGACTCGTGATTGTGTAATTTGACCACATGAACCGCAAGTATCACTACATGCTCCACCCTCTGACCATTCGGACCAGTAGCCTCCAGAGCTCGGACAACAAGTCCAGCACACGTCTGATGGTGGCGGGCTGGTGTCATCCTAAAAATACACAAGATTTGAGCAGTGCCACAGATAAGAACAAGATCCCAGTTCGGAAAGGCATTGATACACATGCCCTTCCCTACACAACGTGACGGATCAAGAGCCTTTATAATAATTAAGTTCCAGTAACGATTGAGTCTACCTTAAACAACTTAAGAATGGGCAGATTTTCTTGGGTCGTGTAGTGGTAGGGGCGCTATAAGGTGACATACTGCGTGATGTGCCCTCTCATCGACGCAGTCTCCGCCGATTGCTAGAGCGCCTCCGTCCAGGCGGAATAGGCTCATTATTAACGCTCACAAAATGAGTAATCTCAGCAAGCAAACTGAGCTTAATAAAGTAAAAGTTCTGATGGAGCCGTCTGACATGTGAAGCCTTTCAAATTACGACCCCCCCCTCCTAAAAGAAAAGATTAGAACATAGTTTAAATCTCACATTTCTAGAACACTGGAAGTGTTTATCTGGTGCCTGTTCTACGGTCCGATTGCTACAGCACGATTCACGAGGGTAGATGCACGGAGATGGCGCACATTCAGATTGCTTCGTACTAGGACCCCTGGAACAATGCTGGATACCGTAATCTGCGAGTATAAATACCGATATGACAGCTGACATAATCGCAATCAGTAAGGTCGCTTTCTGAAGAGATCACTAGCCAGTCACCATTATTAGGGCGTGGCAGCCGGAGGAGGGCTCATTCCGCTTTCCTCACACCGCCCCCTCCCCCCCCCCCAACTAATTGCGATGTCACTAACTACAGCTGTAGCAGCGTTCACCCACGAGCAAGGACATCCGAATTGTTCTGATATACAGCCTCTTGTACGAGTTGTCGTTCCACAATTTCCACAAGTGTCCGAACAAGTGCCACCACTGGACCATTCTGTCCAAACACCTCCAATCACACAACATGTTGCATTCTCGCACTTGGTTAGTGGGGGTGGTGCAGGCGGTTCCACCTTAATTAGCAAAGGATTAGGATTAGTTGTACAGGATTACTCGTTGTGCCCTAGTTGTAGTACTTCACGAAATCCTTACCAGTGGTCCACAGATTTTCACTCCATTTTGGTCCATTTCACTGAATCCTGAGCAACATTTTGTGGTGGAGTTTGAGCATGGAGCCGTATTACATACAGTATGCATCTCATCAGGTCCTCTGCAATGGTATTGTCAGAGTCTTGTACTGTAAAGGTAACCCAGAAGAACGAATTAGAACAGTACATGCAACTGCATCCGTTTTCAGCATTGCAGGTACGCGTTTTCCGCTGGAATTGACAAGATCCACATCAACTTGCGTTGCAAGGTGTAGCAACCTAAAACAGTGAACGAGTAACGTTTGATAGTAGATGACTTTTAAATTTATTCCTAATAAGAATATGTATTACCGTCCATTCGCTCCAAGTTGCCAGTACTACACAACTTTGAGTTTCCGTACTTTCACCTATGCAGGAACAGCCATAAGAGTCCGAAGCGCATGCACGAGTTCTGGTCGCGGTACCACACTGAAATACACAATGATTTTGTCGATTTTTGGGTGCTGATGACCTGGAGGTGGGTAATGGAAGGCAGTCTAAGGACTTCTCGTACAAAACAAGAACTACTGTTCTGGATATAAAGATTTTTACCTTAGGACAAACAAAAGAGGAAAGGATCTGCGGGTAGACTGAACCAAATAAATTCTGTTCGGATGAAGTTTGCACAGAGCCCTTCAGAAACCTCTCCCCTAAAGAAAGTTACTAGCGCTGATCCTTGAAGATTCATTGAGCAGAGCGCTTAGTCCTGTTAGGCTCAGTCTTGAAGCTCTGAATAACCATCCCGCCTTCACTGCAGCATGAACAAAAATACACCTTTTACATTTACCCTTTGAACTGCAGCAGTAGACGAAGGAGCTATTGTGATACTGTGTGGATCCGCAGCGTGGCCCCAAGTTCCTGCTGTAGCTCCATACTACATCTGCCTGCCTCTTTGCTTGTCGTCACAGAAATTTGGCACCAGAGATGTGGTACCATTTGAAAAGTCTGGTCAACGACACGACTTTTTGGTAGCGGGGAAGTTGTGGCGTTCCTTCCGACTCATTGCATGGCACAATTTCGTAACATGTTGAGGGCATTGTGCAGGCGGTGCCAGTGACACAAATTCGTAACTCTCGTCTGTGTACAACCCAGAAACCAGGAAAAGACTGATGAGATTGAGTAAAAAGTTCGCAGTTGAGGCGGGAGACTAGTAGTCACGGGTAAATAGGCTCCTCTAACGGCGAAATTCATGATTTGGATGTGAGATAATTACAACGCTACAGGGATAAATATAGAAACGAATCTTTGGAGTGAGTGAAGCGTCTACAAGTTAGCCTGAATCTCTAGTCTCTCTCTTGCTTAATTTATCTGGACGATAGGGCCGGTTTTGTTTCTGTGACCACGTATAAACAGCGTCAGCTAGACCGAACTCGTACTTCCGAGGTCAATGCTGATGCTTGAGGTTAGGTGTCACACCATTAGTTTTTCCTCACTAACAGCAGGTAGCTTCTTACTCGCAACCCACAAACATACCTTGAAACAACCAGCTCCACTACAACCGCTCCATTCTCCCCATTCTGCCCAGAAGCCATATGTTGGGCAACATGATGTATCGGCAGGAGGCTCAGTAATATTTGGCTGAACAAGAACACAGTTATCAATAATACTGTGTCAAGACAAAATGTGATAAATATACCTGTGGACCACACGAGTGCAGTCCATTAATAACCGTGGAGGTGTAGGGAGCACAACAGGACAATCGTGGGTAGTAGCATACGCCAATATTACAGTTCTCCACTTTTACATCACTTCCACTGGAAACAATAAGTTTTGCTAAAATGAGGAACTCACTGCTAGTGTAGAAGCAAACCCATAGGGTCAGGAGGGCTCAGCTGAGCTGAAAATTCTCCGTATTGTCAGATTTGGTTATTTCGATGGACAGGAGATTCTTACTTGGGGTGCTTAAATAGTTCGGGGGACTACGCCGCAGCGCAGTCACTTCATCTTCACTAAAATAGGTCTCGGCGTACCCTAGTCTTCCGCACTGTGCCAGTCTTTGCAACTGGTCAGAGGAACGGACGCGTTCCTACCCCAGCCACGCTGACGCCCTCGTGCGTACTATATTAACGCGCTGGCGTAATATTGAACAGTTGTGCGGGACAGCGTAAACGCAGTTCTGCACAAGGGATTCCTTGAAACTTCATTTCTGCGCTATTTCTTCGTTTTTGGACGAAGGCCATATCTGGAAGGTACCACCGTGAGCAGGGAATTAGGATTTTGCCTAGCACTGTGGATAAATGGGCTCTTGTGTTGGTGAGCCCCCTCTTTCAAGCTCTTTCCTGTAGGCTTAGACGGAAAGCTTTTCTCAGCAGGTCATGATAGGAGGAATTGTTTTGAGTGGTTTTAAGAGCCATGGAAGCTCCATATCGAAATGCCCTACAATATACACCGTCCAAGTCGTTCCACTGCTCAGTTGTAGTCTTCTCAGATGCTCGTTGACTGATATGAACGATAACCACGGAACCACTGTCGTCGCGCCCTATTTGTTGTCTGTGAATGCTGGTCACCATAACGCGACGCAAACGCGCGCCAGCTAGTTCTTGCCATGAAGTTCACTTGTGCTGTTTTAAGGTTACGCTGTTTTTCATCTATTTGATTTCTTCATTTCCTTTTTTGTCTTTTCTACTGGTTGATCCTGTGTTTCGCATCAAACAAGTTCCTAATCGGTTTATGTTTCTCAGAATTATTGAATTCATGTGTGAATGGCCGTATTGCAGCTTTTTTTACGAAAAGCTTCAACCTTTCTTTACAAGAACCTTTCACAATAACACAACAAAGAAAGTGTCGTGCAAAGGCCAAAAGGATATCATAGAACTTACGTGCATGGACATCCAGCTTCTTCTGACTGGCACTTACGGCGGTACGTTAGCTGAGCGCATGAGCCACAGGTGTCAGTGCAACTCTCATTAGTCGTCCATTCACTCCACAACCCATTAGTTGGACAGCATGCAGGACGAGTAGTGGTTGGAATTGCTGAAATTGGATTATGACCCACCTTTTTTATATTGCGGCTAACTACTACTAGTTCCAGCGACATCAGATATGAGAAATCCTGCTTATATCCTGAGGGTGACGACACGTGGACCTACAGGTTTTACGTCACGAATCCTCATAGAGCAGCTTGGAGTTGTAGGCTATCCCCATTTATGCTTAGCTATACATTCACTATTGGCGATGAGGGGTTAATACGCAGCGCGCGGCACGCCGCACTTCCATCCACATATAGTCTAGCAAGGCCGAGCGTTTGTCGGCGCTTCCTTTGTATGATTGGAGAGCTGCTGCTGCTGCCCTTTTCGACGAGATAGACAGCTTGCCGCTCATGTTGCTTACTGCGGGCTCTTGACATCGGCGCACATGCTGCGCGGTGTGCACAATTGGTGGACATCTGGACGACACCCACCTTTCACAATGCTCCAGCATCGCCCTCCGCCTCCTTCCGGAAGCCCAGTGTGACATACTTTTATAACTACAAAAACGCTCATCACCCACGTGACACCAATCCTCGGTCATTGTGCAGCTTGTCTTTAAACCGCTCATGACATTGACAGAATCAAACAGGGAACTAACTCCTTTTCATTGGTGAAGTCCTAATGGAGTCATCAATGGAGCGAGGGGTGGGTTCTACCATCACAGATGCCATACATAATGCTCCAAGATGGGAACAGTATTTAAAGAAGCGAAACGCCACTGGGCAGGAGACCTGAGGCCAATTATAAGGGAATAGGAAGATGAGCGAGACGACAAAAATCGGCAGAAACAACGTGCGAAAAAAGTGCGTCACTCCTGTCTACGTAGATATAGGACTGCTAGCATAACTCGTGTCCGATGGATGAGGTGGCTCCTAGGAGTCGGTGGCCTTCTCATGACAACCGCGCCGCCCTCGCCACTGTTCGCCTAATCTATACGAATATCAGGTCATGGAGCGCACTTCAGAAACAGTGGGTTCCACATTAACATGAACATGCTGGTCCACAAATGGATGGACAGTTTATGTGAACATCCGCAAATGCCAAGTAAAGACGGATCATGAGACGGGTCAGTGTCATGAGTCCGAGACGAACTCTGTAAGAGAAAGCATTGGTTATCGGAGAAAGAAACGTTTGTTCCTGAATATTCTTCGACGGAAGGCATGTTCAACACGATTAGAAGAAGGCAATAGTGCCTGAGTGAACACTTCGCGTCATCTGGTCTCTCTCGTAGCGTATACACGTGCCTTTTGGTAGCTATGATCGCACTGATCCCGCCATCAAATCGCACGTTCAGGCTGATGGCGTAAAGGATGCGAAGCCCGCTGTCTAAGCATTTCAAGGAAGCTTAGTGGTTGCATAGAACATTGAACAAATGAAGAAACACATTATTGGCAAAGTAAACATTTACTATTACCTGTTGTTGTGGAAGAAGTTGTTGAAGTTGGAGTAGTAGTCGACGTTGGCACTGTGGTTGTGGATGTCGGCACTGTAGTGGTCGACGTCGGGACGGTCGTCGTGGATGTCGGCACTGTTGTGGTCGACGTTGGCACTGTCGTCGTCGACGTTGGCACTGTTGTGTCGACGTCGGGACGGTCGTCGTGGATGTCGGCACTGTTGTGGTCGACGTTGGCACTGTCGTCGTCGATGTCGGCACTGTTGTGGTCGACGTTGGCACTGTCGTCGTCGACGTTGGCACAGTTGTTGTAGATGCATCTACGACGACCGTCCCGACGTCGACCACAACAGTGCCGACTTCCACAACCACAGTGCCGACATCTACAACAACTGTGCCAACGTCGACGACGACAGTGCCAACGTCGACCACAACAGTGCCGACATCCACGACGACCGTCCCGACGTCGACCACAACAGTGCCGACTTCCACAACCACAGTGCCCGACATCTACAACAACAGTGCCGACTTCCACAACAACTGTGCCAACGTCGACGACGACAGTGCCAACGTCGACCACAACAGTGCCGACATCCACGACGACCGTCCCGACGTCGACCACAACAGTGCCCACTTCCACAACCACAGTGCCGACATCTACAACAACAGTGCCGGCTTCCACAACCACAGTGCCGACATCTACAACAACTG